GTTCAGGCTGATTTACTGTATCCACATCTGTCTGTATACTTTTGAAGAGTATTTAATAATAATATATTATATTAATATATCAATATATTTGTTAATAAATAAAGGTTTAAATAAGAATTTCAAACATTTTATAGAAAATGTGTGACAGGTGGGCCTTCATCATTTGATTGGTGAAAGAAGCGGGCCCCGTGGTGGAACAGGTTGAGAAGCGCTGATCTACGGTCATGTGCTGCTGGATGAATAAGGTCAGAGTTGGCCAGGGGTGACCAGAGCATGTGCTGCTGTGTGGAGAGATCATTACAGACGTATAAACACTTGACTAAAGCACTTCAGTGAAGGTCAGAAAGGCTCACGAGCTGCTGCAGCTTCAGCCTGACACACCTGAACCCTGAGCTGTTCTCTGCGCCCGCCGGCGACCCCTGCTGCTCACACCTGGAAACGCCACACACCATAATATACCATGATTTACTACAGACACAACCGGAAAGACAGCATGTGTGTACTACTTATTACAGCCTGTATACACGAGCTCTGTGCTTATAAAATGTAAAAGCACAGCTGACTGTAGTAAACACATATCGGCTGAGGTTTACTCCACTCACCACACGGTCACCACTGAATCCAGAGGAAACCTGTAGAGATGAGGATCAGTGTGGGAACACTTACACTACAATAATTACTGTTATCTCAAACCAGTTCAATATTTCATATACATTCTATATTATATTGTTTAATAATCGATTATATCATTGCTCTAGATTTACTGTCTGCTTAGCTCAATATGTCCATATATCAGTATAATCAATCAGTGCGCTGTGATATAACGACAATGCAGCTATAATGAGAGAGAGAGAGAGAGAGAGAGAGAGAGAGAGAGAGAGAGAGAGAGAGAGAGAGACAGAGAGAGGGAGAGAGACAGAGAGAGAGAGAGAGACAGAGAGAGAGTTCATCAGTTCTGGATCAGCTTCTCTCTGGCAGGAGTTTGGGAAAGACACACACACATTCTCCAGGAGCTGCTGTGATCAGCTCACCTGCTTCCAATCAGTCCTGCAGCTTTCAGAAAAACACAGATGTTTTCTTCGTGTGTGTGTGTGTGTGTGTTCACCTCTGACTGAACTGAACTGAACTGAGACGGCGACATCTAGCGGACAAAACAGGAACTGACAGATCTGGAAGGACAGCAGAGAGTAAACAGCCAAAGCTGTAGTGAAGGAGAACAGATGCAGGAACTTCTTCCTCAACACATAATAATAATCATAACAATCATCATCATCATCACCTTCACAAATTCATGTTCAGGGAACAGGTAAAGACTGTAAAGCAGGCGATCGACTGAACTAGAGTTGAACATTTTACTTGTTGATTTCAGTGTACAAAGACACATGACAGAAGCACACAGAACACACACTCCTCATCATCTGAGCAACACTATACTGTCCTGAGGATCTGCTGAACTGGACCGATCAATGGAGGAACAGGACAACATACTCAGATCAACATCAGCAATAAATAAAGCAGACAGCGGCACATGATCAGAGCAGAGCGGCAGACGCCTGTGCAAAACACTGAGGAACAGCTCACGGATACTGTAACACACTCTAATGTTCATATAACTCAGTGCGAAAGGGCAATGAAGCCGTGAGGAGAGCATGAAGAGCAGACGAGTAAAGCTCAATGTCCAAAAGCCTGAAGAACAGAAGAACTGCAGCGGCTTCATGAGTTCACACACACACACACACACACACACACCTCTACACATCAATAACCGTCTGAAAGGGTTAATTCACCCAGATATTATTCTGTCATCATCAATTTAATCTCCACAGCTTCATTGATCTGATCAACACTACAGCAGATATTCTGGAGATGCTGGAGACCCGCAGACCTCCAGTGTTCATCTGCAGAATATCCTCTTCTGTGTTCAGCTGATGCTGGAAGCTCCTGCAGACGCGTGATCCCTCAGCCCTGACGACCCTGCATCTGTTAATATCCACTGACCGAGGATCAGCCTGCAGCCAGATGCAGCGCTACTCCAGACGTCTCCTGTCAGCCTGCAGATCCTGAGGGAAAGCTGGTCAACTCTCCACATGAGTGTGTGTTCCTCTTCAATGAGTGTGTGTGTGTGTGTGTGTGTGTGTGTGTGTGTCTGCAGTCTCAGATGGACCCCTGGCTCCAGTGTGTCGCCCACTGCCGTTTGTGCAGAATGAGTGTGTCGTCCAGCAGTGGAGCGTCCCGCCGCATGATCTTCACCGCCTGATACTGAGGAACCTGATCTTCATGCCGAACCCTTCTGAAGAAACCACACTGAGGAGAAACAGAGAGAGAGAAGAGTGACCTTTGACCCCAGCGTCCAGCCTGTTGACTGTACATTACTGCGCTGCTACACAGTAAAATCTTCAGAGTAAAATTTCCTCAGTTCAGAAAACATTTGGTCCCTCTCTGAATTGAGCAAAATGTACTCAGCAGCAGAGGTAAAGTTAATGAGACAATGATGGGGTTAATTAAGTGTTGATTGAGCACTGATGATGAACACCTGCTGTTAATAAGCAGAAACAGAAAAGAAGCAGCAGCAGCTTCGCTCATTGGTTACCTGATTGACTTTATTTCTGTCAGATGTTAACAAAAGTCCACATGAGATTTATTGAGAATTAACCGTTTTAGTTATTTACATTTTACAAAAAAAAAAAAAAAACGTTTTTTTTTCTTCGCCTGATGTCACCATCATGGAGAAAAGTGGTTGATTTACTTGGACTCGATTTCTAATGTTCATTGGGTTTTTTTTCTTGCAATGACAAGTATAAAGAGAGCACAAGTGATCAAGTTGATTGGTCCTGTGTGGATTATTACTCCTGATAAAAGTAATTGTACAAGAAATTATGGTTAGAGGATGGTTTATCATATAAGAAACAAAATTCAGTGTTTTTCAAGAGAATGTATCTCAGCTGTGGTGTTATACTAAAATACATTGAACACTGAATCACTTTAGAGACATAGACATCAATAATCAGCGTATCCATCTCAACAGTGGTTAGAGTTTTTTATTTTTTGGCTGCAGTGCATGTTAAGACAATCATACGACATTCATCCATAGTTCCCAGCATGCACTGTAGGAAAAAAAAAAAAACTCTCCATAGTTGAGAAGCATACGCTGATTCTATGTGAAGTTTCATAAACTAATTTCGAGAGGAGCACGTGATATGATTGTGCACCGCTGGCCACTCATCCGTAATCAGTAATAATCCAATCAGAATGATCCTAGCTTAGTATAAATGGATCACTTTCTCCCCATTGCACTATCTTCATTTTGGAAGAATGCTTCCCGCTACAAACGCTCCAGCATTTAAACTACGCTTCAGCATCATTCAACCTTCTGGCATGGAAGAACAAACAATCCACAACAACTTCTCCAACCAGAACCCCGCTCTCCCTTAAACTCCAGCAGCTGCCTCGCCAGCAATCGAGCCAGAATCCCCACAAGAAGCCGGC